ACAACATGACATCTTGTCCATCCATCCAGATTCGGGCACTCATCAGTGTTGGATCTTGCATCATGTTGCTTCACTGCAAGGTGACCATGTCTGTCTAGGCATTATTGATATGCCAGACATCGTGGAATCTAAACCCCAATATCATGATGCCTGGTGTTTGCTTGTTTTGTTCTATTCTTATGCCTCATTTTTCACCATGGTACCTGTCCTACAGGACAAAGTGTTGAAGTAGTGCAAAAACAAATACTTCAATCACAAGAAAGTGACACACAAAATCCAAAGGATATAAAATGTTATGAATCCATCGCATAGTTCTGATGAAAAAATTTCCCTTTGTTCTCATAATACACATAGTCTACTCAGAGCCAATTGAAGGAGACAGACAAAGAAGTCTAGTAGTCAGACACATTGATCTTACATATTTAGCATCAGCCCAGCCACACTTTGGGGACCACATCTTTCCTTCTCCTATGAACCCCAAAGCAAGATGAGAAAGAGGGGCTAAGTCTCCACTGGCTCCAACTGTCCCTTTCTCGGGGATATAGGGCAGGCAGGATGCTAGGAAGAAAGCAGAAATCAGACTTTGGTTAGAGCCTCCATCCATTCTCTCCTTGAAACAGAGACACAGGCACGTGAATCGGCCCTGGTTGTCTTGAAGTGACATACTGGAATAGCAACCAGTGAAATGGAGAAGCATCGCCCCCCTTGCAAACTGACATTTGTTAATTTTTCCTAAATTTGCTCCTGTAGTTTAAAAATAAACCAATTGTTTTTGGCTGACAAATCAAAACAAAACAAACCTGACACGGGATTAAATTTTTAGTGTAGCTTAGTCCCACAAAGGCCAAGAAACTCAAAGTTAAGGTTGAAATTCCAGCTCCAATATAGGAATGGGAGAACCTCAGCTGTGTCACTACATCTGACAACCACTGGTGGGGTCACAAGAAAGGCTCCCACTCAGCTCATCATAGCATAGAATAGAATCATAGAAATATAGGGCTGGAAGGGACCTCGAGAAGTCACCAAGTCCTGCACTGAGGCAAGACCAAGAAAATCTAAAGGGCTCAGTCCTAAGAGGACCCTTTAAAAGTAAGGTAGCCACTGAACTGTTGGCTGCCTTTGAGCAGCTGACTGGAAATCTAGGTCCAACTGCAGGTCATCACTTTGGCATCATACATTTGCAGAAATTGCAGTGCCTCAGCAAAACTGGGCTGAGTTTCAGCCTGTGATGGACACCAAGCTTATGGAAGAGGATGCAGCAGACAGCATCTTTGCTCATCCCCAAGTAGAGTAAGATTTAGCTTTAGGGGTGGGTGACGTGGCTGTCGACCCAGGGTGTTGTAGTCAGGGGGACGCTGTGGTGAAGAGGCAGGGAGCTCAGGTTCCCCCTCAGTGCCTGCAAGGTGCAGCCTGGTGAGGCAGGAGCACCTGCCTGATTGCTCCTGAGTGAAGGAGTCCTGCTCACCACCCCACCTGGTTTCCCAGCCCAGCTCCTAATCCTGCCTCCATACTCGGCGAGCTGGCAGACTCCTCCCGCCCTCCTCCCCCGCACCCTCTGGGACTGTCCCAGCCCAGCCATTACTCCTCCCATGGGCAACCTGAATGAGAACGATGCTGCCCAATGGAAATGGGAGCTGGAAGATGCCAGCCTCTTCAGGGTTGGGAGGGGAAGGGAGCTGAAACTGTAGAGAAAGAGACAAGTAAGTCTGGGGGGTCCTGACCCCATGTCCCAGCTCCCAGGGGGCCCCTGCTGTGCCCCCATTTTCCAACACCCCCCCAGCTCCCCAGGGGTCCCTCACTGTGCCTCCACGTCCCAGCCTCCCAACTCTCAGGGGCTCCCCCTTTTTCTAGCTCATCCCAAAGGGAGGTGTCAGTGCAGGGCATTTGGGATATTTCAGGAGTGAACTTTCCACCATCACCATCAACCCTAACTACCCCCGGTGTGCTGGAGCATTTGCATTTTAACCTCCCCCACCCATAACCCACCTTCCCTGGGACTGAGAAGGGGCACATGAATATTGGGGATGCTCAGTAGTGGGGTGTGGGGAGAGATCTGCCTTTCTGAAGCCCCCATGTTACTGTCTCCCTGCAGCCCCACACAAATGAGACTCTGTACTACTCTGGTTCCCTGCCCCCATTCTGGGTCTCTCAGGTCACCATGCTCCCCTGCCACCACAGCCCTTTGGTGCCCTCCTGTCACTGCTCTTCCCCTTGGGCTGCTGACCCGTTGTGGGGAGCCCAGAGAGGCAGCAGGGGCCAGGGCAATGAGGGGGTGGATGGGGAGCCTGGGGAGGCAACGGGCCAGAGATGCCAAAATACAAGTTCAGCCAGGGAGCTATTTTCCCTAAGGCCAGCCCTGGATTTAGCCCCTAAGCTACTGCAGTTGTTAATGTTACTGACTATTTAGAGACTCAAATTTCTCAGATCAAATTAAAGCACCATTTCCCAGATCTTTGAACACTGAACCCCATTCAGGAAAATGAAAGCAATCACCCCCCCCCCCCCGCCACTGTCAACACTTCCACATTTTGTAAAAAGTCCTACCCATACTCATGTATAGATCATCTGTGCCCTTCATCTCCCCACTAGTCCTGGAGGGTGCACCTCACACTTCAGGAAATGCTTATTTAGTGGCTACTTATGCACCAAGGCTAAAATGTTGGCTCCTTCAGCCCATATATACATATATGCTAGGAATGATTGGGCGTTTTCATTTAAAAAAAGAAAATCAATGGCACTGTGTGTTCTAGAAGGTACAGTAGAACCTCAGAGTTACAAACACCTTGGGAATGGAGGTTGTTCATAACTCTGAAATTTTCAAAATGGAACAAAACATTATGGGTGTTCTTTCCAAAGTTTACAACTGAACATTGACTTAATACAGTTTTGAAACTTTACTATGCAGAAGAAAAATGCTGCTTTCCCCTGTCTTTTTTTTTTTTAGTAGTTTACATTTAACACTGGAATGGGTTACCTAGGGAGGTGGTGGAATCTCCATCCTTAGAGGTTTTTAAGGCCCGGCTTCACAAAGGCCTGACTGGGATGGTTTAGTTGGGGATTGGTCCTGCTTTGAGCAGGGGGTTGGACTAGATGACCTCCTGAGGTCCCTTCCAACCCTGATATTCTATGATTCCATGAACACAGCACTGTACTATATTTGCTGCTTTTTTTTTTTTGGTCTCTGCTGCTGCCTGACTGTGGTCTTCCTGTTCCAAATGAGGTGTGTGGTGTTCGTAACTCTGAGGTTCTACTGTACATTTCTCAGTGAAGTCACTTCAGTCTGGGATAGAAGTTTCAATTAAAAATCATCCTGAAATCCAACAATTACATTTTTTAAAAATAGCTGATAAAAACTTGACAGAACTTTGTATGTTAAATTTTAGCCCTAAGCTGTTGTCTCCAGTAGAGTTTCATAATTCCTCGGAATAGGGGTTTATAATGCAAAGGTACACAGGCCTGTTAATACAACAACAACTGGATCCACAGCCACTATAATTACATTGGCCACAATTTTCAGAAGTGATGTGAATTTCAGTACCTCACTTTTGGGTGTCCAAGACAAATTGAAGAGCTCGGATTTTCACTACACTTTCTGAAAAAAGAAAAAAAAAGGAAAAAAAACCAACCCTCACACCAGGCCTCTTTAAGGAGTCTTAAATTGGGCATGTAAAATCACTGGCCACTAACACTGGAGTATTAGGGTTACCATTCGTCCGGATTCCCCCCGGACATGTCCGGCTTTTTTCAGTTAAAAATAGCGTCCGGGGGGAATTTGTCAATGTCCGGACTTCCCCCCCCATGCAGAGTGTGCGGGGCTTACAGGGCAGCCGGCCGGATGGTGCCACTCGCTCGGGGCTCCGGCAGCCAAAGCCCTTCCTCCACTTTCCCCCTCCTCTCTCCTGCAACTTGATACCACTCCCCTCTTCTCCCTCCCTCCCCCCGCTCTGCATTCACAGATCGCCGGCTGTCGCCTCGGCCTCCGGCCGTCTGGAGCTCTGACCCTGCTCCCCTCCCCCGCTGCCGAGCGCGCTGCTCTGCAGCACAGTAACGGGGCCGGGGG